CGGTGGTAAACTCAGAGGGTCTCCCTGAAAATGTCAGGTAAAATGCAAAACTCCCCGACCTTTGTGTGATGCTGTTACTCACACGCTATGCAAACAAAACACGGTTGACATAGATATCATTTGCCATCTGGGAGTCGTAACTTGGCAACATGACCCAACCGATAGCGTAGGCAAAACATGAAGCTAAAACAAGGAAGCTCTTTCCTTTTGCTGATCTCTTTGTTTAGTGTTGGTCTGTCTGATTCATAATGATGACTACAGACAAAGGGAAAAAGGGACTTTTGAAGGACAAAAGATATTTTGGAAGCTCAGTAGACAAACATTGCTCAGTGTATAGGTATACTGTAAAACCCAACAGTCAACTCTATCAAATGAAATGAGTGTAGTTAACAAAACATTTATTGAAAGTTAATTCTACTCATTTTAAAAGAGTTTTGAACTCAGTGTTGTAGGTAATGAATTAATTAAATACTGCATTACTTCAACTTAAGTTCACAGTACTCATATAGATTAGTTCCTTAACTCAAATAGTTTGTAGCAATCGATTTCTTCAAATGGTTTGGGCTGCCTTAATTTTTTGGGTTTTACAGTGTACTGTAGAAAAGTAAAGTATCTCTGTGATCTGCAGGAAATGGTGGCCTACCAGAACCCAAAGTGCGAAAAATTGGGGTTTTGTGAAATGCATCTCTTTTTTTAATCAATATGTGACTGCCGCTCTTTGTAAACGTTATATTTTAATGTCTTCTGCTACTTTTTATTTGGGCCTATTGTCTGTCTGGGTGATATAAATTTAAGTAATAATAGTAAAAATAATTCCTTACTTTTATATAGCGCTTTTCTGGACACTTGAAGTGCTATTGGGGGGGATTGCTGAAGCATATCACTGTGGCCCCCCCAAATGTATAGACCCTTAGCAACCCCCCCCCCCCCCCCCCAACGATGCCCCTGTATTTCAGTATATGTTTTGATGTTATCTAGTTTTATATTTATAACAGTGACAATAAACTCTCTTCGTTGATTTAAAGCTGTTAATAAAACACTCTGTTGACACAACACATTTACAGTAAGCAGTTCTGTTAGCATTAAACTACTTTCTAATGGGAAAACCAGCTTCACCTGCAATATCACTAAATGACAATTTAAGGAATAGTTCACCCAAAACCATTTACTCACTATTTACTCTCCCTAATGTGGTTCGTAAACTTACTTTTGTAAGTTTCTTTCTTTTGCTGAACACTAAAAAAGAGATACTCAAAATATCTTATTTAGTATTTGCCAATAGCCTACTGGTAAAGTGGGCTGTCATATAGCACTGAGGTGCTCAGGGTAGAGCTGTAATTGGGCCATAAAAGTTAGGGTGGACAGGGCCCGAGCCCGATAGGATTTGGCCAGAGCCTGACAAGTACAGTTTTAATTGAAAGCTTTTTAAAAGCCCGAACCCGTTTACAGCCCAACATTATTCAAATGTGCACATGCACACAGCTCTTTTGCCTTTTTATTAAGAATGAGTCATTTACGTGTTTTAAAATTATTTATTTGATTTGGTTACTTTATTGCGCTAATCGAAATGCATCACATGACTGTTTATTCATTAACCCGGTTTTTTCGAGTTCGGGCAAAGATCTTTAGCTTTAGCTCACGGTGACCTGAGTTTTGTTGGAATATCAAGCCAATTCCATGCGTGTTTAATAAGAAAAGGTCTGGAGAGGGTTTTCTTCAATGCCAAAAATATTAGTAATTTATTAGATACAAATGAATAATTCAATGACAGAGCTCTGGGATACGTTACCCCAATGCAATACAAGAATTACATTCAAGAGGTTTGCAACTACTATGCATTTCCTGACTCCAGCATATATACACAACTGATATTAAAAGGTGGAGTTTTGGTGTAACATCACTTATCCGTCATTCTGCAGTCTTTTGGCTCTTGTAACCCCTAGACATACTTCCTCTTTCTGCAACCCTTCTAGGCATACCAGAACTGAACAATTACATGCATCTTTAATACATTTCACATCTTCTACAAGCATCAAGACAACTTGTGACATGTCTAGACAGCAGTCTGGAACAACCCTAAATTTATTCTTTAATTATTTCCTCTGGTCAGCAGTTCCTCTAAAAGTATGCAGCACAGTAAAAAGAATAAGTGTGTCAGGTCAACATGTGCTATTATACAAAAGAAAAAGATTTATTAATCTGTTGTTAGTCTAAACATTTTTCTAATAAAAATTAAGACACATAAGTAATAAAAATAAATTAATTTTCCTGCAGTTTGGTTCCTGGCTTGTGGTCCTTTGCTGATTTTTCCCCCTTCTCTATGCTGCCCATGTATTCCAGTATTATCACTACTGCCCTGAATAATAAAGGTGAAAAACCCTAATATATATTTATATATATTCATTTTTTTTTCTTTTAAGCTTAGTCCTTTTATTAATAAACCACCAACCTATCCAGCATATGTTATATGCAGCATATGCCCTTCCAGTTGCAACCCATCACTGGGAAACTTCCATACACTCTCATTCACACTCATATACGGCCAGTTTAGCTTACCCACTCATCTATAACGCATGTGCTTGGATTTGTGCGAAAAACCAGAGCACCCGGAGGAAACCCATGCCAACACGGAGAGAACATGCAAACTCCAAAATGCTAACTGATCCAGCCGGGGCTCGAACCAGTAACCTTCTTGTTGTAAATCAATTGTGCTACCCATCGTGATGCCCTTTATATATATATATATATATATATATATATATATATATATATATATATATATATATATATATATATATATATATATATATTGTGTTCTACAGAAGAAAGAATGTCAGACAGGTTTATAACAAGTGATGAGTAAACAATGACACAATTTTCAGTTTTGGGTGAACTGTCCCTTTTACATATGATTCGTTTTTTAACCTTTCCATCACATTCATTCGGAAAACCCGAAAGAAACCCATGCTGATATGGAGAGAACATGCAAACTCCACACAGAAATGCCAACTGACCCAGCCAAGGCTCAAACCAGTGACCATCTTGCTGTGAGGTGATCGTGCTACCCACATTGCCACCTTTTCCATCACCTACAATTTGTATTCTTTCAGCTGATTGCAAAACCAACAATATTCTCTCTTTCTGCGAATAGTTTTTATTATTAATAATGCTGCACATTTTGTCATTTGCTTTTGTGGTCCTAAGTAACAGCAGCTGACATTTAAACCTGACTTGTATACGTGTGAAAGAAGCACAAGTGCATAGATGCTGCGTTTTGGTTTTGACCTGCGATTGATCGTCAGTACATTTCAACAGGAAGTGGTGGTCACTTAACGTGATGCGACAGACGTTCTCATGACAGGCGCTTCAGTCCCTGTGACCTAATTAGGTGTATGACTGCGCTAATCTGATCTCATTTTTGCACACTGTTGATTACTATTTTAGTACTTATCAGAATAATCTATTTTCTCTCAGTGTCTTCTGGAGGGGCGCATATTAAAGAGTGAACTGTGCAAACTTTTGCAACTTCTCTACAAACATCACAATGAGATCTCTGATGGCTGAGTCAGATCATAGGCCTGGGTTTTTCAGTGAAGTAGAAATGAAGAGGAATGGACTTTAGATTCAGAGAAGAACTAAAAACCACAGTGATGCTTGTAGAGGGGTTTATCATTCACATCAAGAAGTGTGCACTGCAGAGCAAAGCACGTGCAAGAATTCAATTTAGACTGCGGAGTGAGCAAATAAACGCCCTATAAATGAATGCTTATATTGCTTTTTTATTTGCAGCTGATTTAACCAGTTTAATCTCCTCAATAATGCAGTGCAGTAACTTTATGTAATCTAGGTCAGGGACTCAGGGTACTGTACCTATATGTTATGTACCAAACTGTGGTTTGTTTCAGTGGAATGTGCAACCATGTGCACAACAATGAGAAATGGTTGCGCGGTGGCGCGTGCATGTGTGGTACCAGAGCAGAGTGGATGAGGTGCTGCTGATGGCTTGACCCTATTTCTGTACTATATGATCTTCAAATAAACTATAAATAACTGTATCATAACTGTATTTTTCATTAAAATGTCTCAATTAATTATTACGCTGTGAAATTATTTTTAAGAGCATTATTACTATTTAATGACATTTTGATTCATGACAATCATGATTATAAAAGATTTATGACGAGTTTTGCTGTCTTGGTAATGTCAAGTTGTCGTGACAAAGTCAAAAACGGGGTGTGATTTGTTTGTTTATGTCATAACAATGTCATGTTTGCATTTAAAATTTCATAACTGAGCAAATGACACTTAATGACAGTTGTTATATGCATGCATTTAATCTCATTCACATTCTTGATGTGTCATTTCATGATCATAAAGATTTCATTACAGTATGAACACCCCTTCAAGTAAAGTATTAAACTCTAAAATACAACCCAATTCTGAGTGTAATACGGACTCAACCAACAGCTAGGTTAGATTTAAATTAAATTAACAGGACCAAAATTAACCCAATGTTTGAGTTAGTCCATATTTTACCCCAATTTTTGTTTAAATAACCAGCATTTTGAAGAGTGTACTACTTTTTCTATTTTACCTTATAGATACTACTACCTTGTTGGAAATCTAAAACAAGGGGGAGCTTTGCTTCAGGATATGGTAATTTCATCCAAATTAGAGTGTTTACAAAAAAGAAACATAATTGGGAAACGCGATTTTCACAGAGCTCTGTTGGTAATGACAGAACTTTCTATGGCTTTGGTTTCATAACAAGTTGTGAGCTGATCTTGTCAAGCAACTATCTCACTAAATACAACTTAAAAATGGTTTATTCCTGCTTCAAGATGGTTTTATTTTTATATTCCAACACAGCTATAATCATCCAGCTAAAATGAAGACTGTTAAAACGTTAAATGGTCAGTTTTACAACAGGACAGATCATTTTAATACAATTAAGTTATTTTTAGTTCTCAAGATCCCCTATAGTCCCCAGTTTGCAAACCATACCCGTGCTCGTGCATCTGGCTTACAGGGCGGTGCTTTGTTTTTCTGTACTATTCTCAGCAGTCGATTTCAGAGTTTGTGAGGACGTTTTCAGCACCTCGAAAATAGTTTTAATAATTGCCTTTATTTAAAGCTTCTAAATGTGCAAACAGTTTTAGATAAGGATTTAGGAAGCATCAAAAAACCGTCTTTCGTCTCTTGTAGTTTTACCTCCGCAGGCAGTTCTTCTCGGATTACATCATCATGTTCAATTTAATCATCTTTACGGCAAAATGTTGAAGATTTATATTAGCAAAGCCACGTTATGCCTGTTTCTGTCGCTCATTCGAGGTAAGTGTTCCACGTCTTTTCGACTTTTGCCGTTTTTATTAATATCGCAGCTTCTTTAAGTGTGGTTATGTTCACAGTCATTTAATCTCACTGCGATCTACGTTGGAGCATATGACCCAAAATCATCATGAAATTTCTCACGTTTTAAGTGTGTGACTGCATTATAAGGATAACTGCAAAAGACTGGTTTAACAACATACGTAGCAGTGGAGTTGATTGGTGGGAATTGGTATTGGAATTGGAATGAATAAATAGGTATTCAGTTATCCGTCTCCAAATACTGAAAGTTCAATTTATCCTTTATATTGCTTAATATTAGATCGCAAAGTAACCAATATCTCATAATTTACCACTCATTTAACACTAAACATGACACTATTTCTAAAATAAATATCTATAAATCTCAACTAAACTTTTGCAATGCGTGTTTGTACAGGTAATTTGCTATTTGTATTGGCGGTTAATGCTATTTTATTAAATAAAGTTGAATGTTTTTAGTTTCTTTGTTTCTTTTCTTTTTCGTGTTCCATGCATGCAAATTTAGGCCTGCAGACTCTTCTTTAATGAACTTCTAAATATTAGCCTAACCATCTCGAAAATGTTTTCAAGGTAAGAATAGCCTAGCTAGCACGCTGAAAAAAAATTAATTTGAACATTAAAAAAATGCTATGATGTTAGTGTACAATATCACAATTAAATAAAATATTTTTAATCTTTTTAATGCCAGAGACCACAAAATATGATAATGGTTTACAAGGGATTAATTAAATAATTTCATAAAGATTCAATTTAATTTGTGAAAAAGCAATATTACGAACAAGTCTAAAGAGAATTTGGAAAATAATTTACTAAGAGCATTTTTACATTTTCCTACTCATTATATTACTGTACCTTTTATTGATCAAACATTAATGTTTGTAAATACTTGTTTTATTTATTATTTACTTCATTCTGCTTTGTTTCTATCTATTATAGCGTATTGTAAACATATTTAAAGTTATTTTTTTTTTAAATCATATTTTGTATTATTTTATAAATATATTTACTATATTTTATCAAATTTGTATTTTTTTATTTTATATATGTATAATAATAATTTTTAAAAATGGTTTTACTTTTATTGTTTTTTTTCATACAATATACTATAAAATGTATCTTAAATTTTTATGTTTTTTTCCCCTAAATATAATTGCGTATCACCGGCACAACTTTGCGGCACATTAGCAGTATGTGTAAGAAACATAATATTTATGTCAATTATTATATTTTTTGTGGTGAAAATTTGTAATAAAAATATTAGTAAAAAATAAAATTTATTTTAAACAGTGACAAATGTTTGATTTCTCGGACAAGAAGCATTCAGATTCTTATTTTTATTCATTTATTTTTTCAGAAATATCTACTAATAAATTAAATTAGCAAACTCGCTATCATATGTTATACTTTTAAAATCTTTTCGTGAATGTGTTTCAGGTGTGTTTGGTGCTGATGCGGATGAAGTGAAGTCAGTATCAGTGACTGAGAGAGATTTTGTCACTTTAAACACTGATGTTACTGAAGTACAGAAAACTGATCAGATATTGTGGATGTTTGGACCTCAAGAGACTCGTATTGCTGAAATACATAAGCAGAGCATTGACATGTTTGACAGCAATGAGACATTTGGAGACAGACTGAAGATGAACAGACAAACTGGATCTCTGACCATCACAGACATCACAACTGAACTCTCTGGACTTTATAAACTGACCATCATTACCAGTGGAGGAACTACTTATAAGAGATTCAGTGTTACTGTTTATGGTGAGTTCAGTGTCACTCTGACACACTGATTTATTATTTTATAGTATTTTCTGGTTCGTTCTGGGCAGAAATTCTGCAAGTGGAAACTTTAAAGAATAAAAATATTCTACTATATCAATTATATAATCATTTTACCTGCTGTCAGAAGTAGCACAGATAAAATTTGCCTAACTGTAGATTTGCTTCATTACTTTGAGCTATAAATAATAAAATCTTGTATTTTATGTTTTCTAGCTCCTCTTCCTGTTCCTGTAATCAGCAACAATACCTTAAGCAGTCAAAAACCATCCCCAGACTCCAGATGTTCAGTGTTGTGTTCAGTGTTGAATGTGAGCGCTGTGAGTCTCTCCTGGTACAAAGGAAACAGTGTATTGTCCAGCATCAGTGTATCTGATCTCAGCATCCGTCTCTCTCTACCTCTGGAGGTGGAAGATCAGGATAACAACACCTACAGCTGTGTGGTCAACAACACCATCACAAACCACACCACACATCTGGACATCAGTCAGACCTGCCACACAAGTAAAGTTATGTCAGTGGTGATCACTGCGTATTTACTGATCTGCTCTTTTTCTTCAAATATTATGTAAACGAGATGAATGATGGAAATCCAAAGTGACCTGCTTTCTTTTTATTGTAGAAACTCCACCTGCTGCCATTTTCCTCCCTCTTTTAATTTCTGCTTTAGTTCTGGCTGGACTTGCTGCTGCAATGTACTTCTTATATAAAAAGCACAAAGAAAAAAAAGGTACGACTCATATTCATGTTTTATAACAAAACAAAAGCATTATTACTATTGCATTGGGGTTCCAACAATTGATGTTAATGTTTGACTCTTTTAACTCTTTAGTTGATGGTTCCAAACCAAGTACGCAAAGACTGACAACAGCCCAGACTGAGCAGACAGATGATATAGAGATACATTATGCCGAAGCAACATTTCACCTTCAAAATAAACCAAAAAATGTAAGCCATTAACATGCATGCCCATCATTACATCCAATCAAAACATTACATTTTGGGAGCTTCTATTGAACACAAACTGAGAATTTTTAAAAGAATATCGTGCTATTTAGAATCATTATAATTAAAGATTAATTAAATCAGTTAAATAAATAAGATCAATTAAAGAACCAGGACTCTCAAGCTCTCAAACTCCAGTGACGGAAACACTACTGTTAACACCATTAATATAAATTAACATATAGATATTTATGACTAGGCATGGGCTGGTTTAAGATTCTGACTTATGATAACCTCGGAAAAAAATAAAATGGTTTCACAGCATCATGATTACAGCTCTAAAATATATATTTTTAAATGTCTGGGATAAAAAAAAACCTTTTTCCACATTGAAAACAATATAATTTAATTTAAGAAACATTTTTTATATTTTCTAACAGTAAACACATTAGGCTAAATAATTCAAATGAATCATTGATTTCTGCTGTCTTCACTGGTGTCAATAACACAGATTTCTTTACATCATGAAAAGGCATCTTTGGATATCTTTTCATTCTTTGGATATAATCTGAGTCACTGCACTGTTCAGGTCTATTATAAGCATGCATGTTGGTATATAGCAGATTTGTTTTTCAACTGTTTGCTAAATTAGGGGCTGACCCGTAGCTTTGATGTGGAGGTTTCTTTTCTGCTGGAGATACTATAAAACTAAATAAGTCATTAGAAAAACGTGTACAATAAAAAATTATATATACTGTAGAAACGGTATAACAGAAAATATTTGCAGTTTTAAAACCTTTACTTTTCCAAACCATGGTAAACCTTAAAAATGGCTTTCGTCCCATGACTATTTATGACTGTGATATTTCAAGTCTTCCAATGTATTGTAATAGATTTGTGTGAGGAACAGTTCGAAAGCAAACTTTAATGCATTTATATGACATCATAATTATTATTTATTCCAAATATTTATACAGAAGTATAAGAACACATGCATTCTACATTTAATGCCATTTTTGTCACTTATTGAGATATCCGATGAGTCTTGAAGATGAAAATCTGCTCTCAGGGATATTTCCAATACCTGCACTGAAAAGTCACCCTGATACTCTCCAGAAGTGTTCTCTTCTCATTTCTCAATGGAATTTTGTGTTTTCTTACAGAAAGCAAATGGGACTGAGGAAATTATATACTCCAGTGTCAACATGATCACATGATGACATGAGACCATCCATTTAATTTCAACACAGTGCTTATGTCTGGATTTGTGCTTAAAAATCTGAAAAAGGGTAAAGGAATTCAGATGACCATATCGTGGGACTTTTTTTTTATTTTGTAAAAGAACCAGATACATTAAAAAAAAAAAAAAAACAGAACTTAACATAATGAATTTGATTTGACTGGCTTTGTCTTTTGCATATCCAAATAGTCCTATGACAAATATAGACACAGTTGAAGTCAGACAGAATTATTTGCCCCTCTTTGAATTTTTTTTTCTTTTTTTTATATTTTCCAAATGATGTTTAACATAGCAAGGACATTTTCACAGTATGTCTGATAATATTTTTTTCTGGAGAAAGTCTTATTTGTTTTGTTCCGGCTAGAATAAAAGCAGTTTTAAATTTTTTAAACACCATTTTAAGAGACAAAATGTAGCCCCTTTAAGCTATATATTTTTTTGATAGTCTACAGAACAAACTATCCTTTTACAAAAACTTGCCTAATTGCCCTAACCTGCCTGGTTAACTTTAGGCAGTTAACTAGTTAAGCCTTTAAATGTCATTTTAAGCCAGCCTGATCTCACGAGAAAACATAAGTATTTTACGTTTTGCCAGTTTAGTGGCTAATTCGTAGGAATTCGTACGATTTCAGTCGTACGAAATGATACGATTTTAAAAAGGAGGCGTGGCACCTAACCCCACCCCTAACCCCAACCGTCATTGGGGGAAAAGCAAATCGTACTAAATTGTACGAATTAGATCATACGAATTCATACGAATTAGCTACTAAATGAAAAAGTTACGAATTGCCGTGAGATTGTGTTGTTTAAGCTGTATAAAAGAGTCTTGAAAAATATCTAGTCAAGTATTATTTACTGTCATCATGGCAAAATTTAGAGATGAGTTATTAAAACAATTATGTTTAGAAATGTGTTGGAAAAAAAAATCTTCTCACTGTTAAACAGGAAACAGAAAAAATTAACAGGGGGGCTAATAATTCTGACCTCAACTGTACATGTGCATAAACACTGACAGTCCTATTGAGCTAAAGCTAACAGCAAAACAAGCAAAAGCTCAGAGAAATATGGGATATATATTGTGTATATTGTTAGAAAATAGGAATAATTTTTTTTATTATTTTTGTCTCTTTTTCTTTGAATCAAACAATTATTTGTATAGGTCATGTAAGGGTCATATATTAACTGAACTCCTCCTGTTGTGTGTGGGATGCGGTGCATACTAATTAGCGTTTTTGCAGAAGTAGATAAATGCTGGTTTAACATTAAATTCAGCTCTGCAGAAACTCCTTGTCTGAAGAAAGGTATTTAAACTGAACACAGAGTACAAAAAGTTTTATGCTTTTATTGTTGTGCAGAGAATTCATAGAATAAGAGGACTTATGTCTGGGGTGCGGCCAATAGAGGACTGAACAATGATTGATAAATGATGAATTTCACTAAACTCCTCCTGTTAATATCAGCTGTCTATACAAGTTGAAGTCAGGAAAAGAAAGGGGTCGCGCACCTCCTTAATGTACCTTTTGCATTGCATTGAGGATAACAGAATTCTGTGAATCGATTTATTCATTTGTATCCAATAAATTGTTACGGTTTTTGACATTATAGAAAAACCTCTCCTGACCTTTTTTCTTGAACACGCGTGGAATTAAGTATTCCAACAATATATGTAGAACCACAGAGTTTTTAATATATATATATATATATATATATATATATATATATATATATATATATATATATATATATATATATATATATATTAAATACCACAGTGGACATACAGTTGAAGTCAGAGTTATTAGCCCCCCTGAATTGTTAGCCCCCTGTTCATTTTTTCCCCAATTTTTGTTTAACAGAGAGGAGATTATTTCAGCACATTTCTAAACATAATAGTTTTAATAACTCATTTCTAATAACTGATTTATTTTTATCTTTGCCATGATGACAGTAAATAATATTTCACTAGATATTTTTCAAGACACTTCTATACAGCTTAGCTTGACATTTAAAGGCTTAACTAGGTTAATTAGGTTAACTAGGCAGGTTAGGGTAATTAGGCAAGTTATTGTCTAATATATATATAATTATTATTATATTATATATATTTATATAATTTATATATATATATATATATATATATATATATATATATATATATATATATATATTTTTTTTTTTTTTTTTTTTTTTTATTACTTTTATTATTATTTGCTCAGTTTTGATGTGCTTTACACAGAAAACTGCTCAATATCTCCTCAGGGTTTCTCATTTTATTGGTTCTTATGTTTAACAACTAAATTCCAGCACAACCTATCTCTTCAGTTCCTGTCTCTGTGTAGCACTGCAAGTCATTACATGTGCCATCATACCATATAACTTCAGACAAACCGGCTTGCTTAAATTTAGCACACCTCTTTTTACTGAACCACTGATTCATGTTTTTGCCCTAGTTTAAACAGTAATTTATTTGTGTGCAGCATTTTTATGCAATCAGAAATCAATGTTATTTGTTGTGGTTAATAATATTTGCTTGAAAACAATTCCCATGACTGCTGTCTTTCCAGGATAAAGGGTGTGGCATCTGTAGTTGTCAGTTAAGTCTAGTGCTTCTTGTGTGTGATTGTGATAGAGGCAGAATCTCATATTTCAGTATTATGGCACTCAAGCTAGCATGACGTTGACAAGTGTTGTTTATTTGAATCAGAAAATCTGAAAATCTGTACTCTTTCAGATGTGAAATGTTTAATAAATCGTTATTTATAAATCGTTTTTGTACATATATTTTGCTGAAAAATGCTCTTTTTACATGAAACGAAAGAGGCAACTATTGAATAACTGTAAGATGCTGCCATCTCGTGGCCACATGAGATGACGACGCAGAGACATCTATTACTTGTGTATGACGTTGCAGAGATTAGATTATTGCAGTTCTTTAACAATCCATTACTGCTGTTTTATATCAGAACTACAACAAAAGTACGAAAAATAATACTTGGAGAAACATTTCATTGGTCATCTGGGTGTTTATAAGATGGCTATGGGGGGGCTCACCCTTTAACAGATGATGTCAATGTCATGTTTGTCAAAGATGTAACAAAAATCTAAACATACACTGATTTGGGGGTGTATAATTAAAGGCTGTAGTTCAAAAAAAGTTCAACCCTGCTGAAAAATCCAGCTTAAACCAGCCTAGGCTGGTTGGTTGGTTTTAGCTGGTCGACCAGGCTGGTTTTAGAGGGGTTTTGGCCACTTCCAGGCTGGTTTCCAGCCATTTCCAGCCTGGTCTTAGCTGGTCAGGCTGGGAGATGACCAGCTAAAACCAGCTTGACCAGCCTAGCCAAGCTGGGAGTCCAGCCAAAACCAGCTATATCCAGCTTAAACCAGGCTGGTAAAGCTGGTTTTAGCTGGATTTGGCTGGTCATTTTCCAGCCTGACCAGCTAAGACCAGGCTGAAAATGGCTGGAAACCAGCATGGAAATGGCCAAAACCCCTCTAAAACCAGCCTGGTCGACCAGCTAAAACCAGCCAACCAGCCTAGGCTGGTTTAAGCTGGATTTTTCAGCAGGGAAAACAAACAACAGATCAACTCTCCATATCTAACAGCCACCAGAGGTCATCATAACATCACAAATATGTTTGACTCTAAAGGACAGTCCCTAAAGAAGCCCAAAAATGAGAATTCACCCATAATTTACTCTCCCTTAAATGGTTTCAAAACATCAAGTGCTTCTTTATTATGTTGAACACAAAATAAGATATTTTCAAGAATGTTGGAAATGAGCACCTAAAGGGCAGCTTTCAAATGCAGGAATGCATCAAAGCAAGTCTGAATTCAATTTTCTCAAGTCAGACTATTTCTTCTCCCGAGTGTTCTACTTATACTGTGCATTGTCCATAAAACAAAAGTGGCAACTATTGAAGAATTGTAGGTTGCTGTCATCTAGTGGCCACATCAGAGGATGACATCAGTAATATCTTGTATTTGTTTATGTAACTGGAGGGACAATAATTGCAGGTCTCCACTTCCATCTCTGCTATTTTGATATCAGATCTACAACAATATGAAAAATAACACTTGGAGAAACATTTCAGTTGTCATCTAGATGAGAGTCTATAAGATGGCTTGTCAATGTCATGTTTGAAAAATCAAAATATACATTGATGTTGGGGTGTGTAATTAAAGAAAACACTAGTTCAAACATTTACATTAAAGAAAAAAAGGAAAAAACATACAAAGGATCAACTCTCTATATCAGCCAACAGAGGTCAGCAAACGTCAGAAAAGTGTTTGACTCGGTTTGACTCTAAAGTAGGACTGACCAAAGAGGTCCAAAAATGAGAATTAACCCACAATTTAGTCTCCTTCAAATGGTTTCAAAACTTCAAGTGTTTCTTTATTATGTCCCAGCCGGCATTTCAACGGTGATTCAACGTTGAATCAACGTCAGGTCTATGGTTGGATCAACGTTGAATTACCTTTCGATTTTGCAAATTGGATCAACGTTTATATAGTGACGTTGTTTCACCGTCGGACCACCACCGGTGATTCACCGTTAAAATCACAACGTTGTTTCACTCTTACCTTCTTCATGGGTGAATTGTGGTCGTTTTGTAGACGTTGAATGAAGGCTGAATTACCTTTCGATTTTGCAAATTGGATCAACGTTGATACCGTGACGTTGTTTCACCGTCATACATTTCAACGCAAGTTAAATAGAAATTACATACAACGCAAAGTCCATAAATATAGCAAACAAATTTTTACTAATTAAAAATACACGACACAAATACACAACTTAGCCTGTGTATCAATTTATTTAATACACACCTCATTATTTCATTTATTCTAAATATACAGCAACATTTACAGCATACATAGTTCATTAAAACCATGCAGGTTACTATACATGCTGTACACTCAAATACAGAAAAAGGCATACAATTAAATAGTCACTTTTTAATTAGGTTTCATGAATTAAAGTTAGTTAATGTTTACTAACATGAACAAAGAACAAATACTTGTACAGCATTTATTAATCATTTTATTTATTGAAATATGTCCCAATGCTATTAAAATCAAAATGTATGCTTGTTAACATTAATGCACTGAGCTG